GAACCCGTTCGGGATGTAGAGCCTGTGCAGCAGGTTGCTCCTGATCAGCAAACTCATGCTGACACGCTGATGGATCAGCTTTTTTCTGACCAGCAGTCCCACCATTTTTCTGCTGAGGAGGTGGCTGCCCATCAGGCTGACTTGGCTAGTCAGTTCGAGCGGATCTCCCTCTACGATCCTGCTCATGAGATGTTGGAGCGAGGTGGCTGTCCGGCGAGCCAGATCTGGTCTACGTCAGGATTTCTTAATGGCCACAATCTTCCCCCGATACCGGTGGAGGAGGCCGAGGAGTGTATATCCCTGACTGTCCTGAAGGTAGCTCATTATCTTATGCTCATAATTCACTCTTTTCTTTGCTTGATAACTTATCATGTGCTTATATTTTACTTTCTGATCTTTAGGCAGGAATATACAGCCTGAAACTCAGAGAGGCCAGGCAGGCAAAAGAACAAAGCCTGCTGATGGCCAAAGAAGCAGCTGAGCAGGCAGTGGAAGCTGAACGGCGAGCATTTGCCGAGGAGCGGAAGAAGCTAGGAGCTGAGGCCGGGGAGCTTCGTGTCCAAGTGGGCTCTCTCCAGGCCAAAATTGCGGCAGCTGAGGCCGCTCAGGTCAAGTTTTCTGAGGCTCCTCCCCAAATCCCGGACGGCCCGGCTGAAATGATAGTTGATCTATCTGCCGTTCGGGATCAATTCAAAGCTTCCGAGGAGTTTCTGGCTCTCAAGGAAGAATACGCCACCGAACAGCTCCCTGCTGTTTTCGGGAGGCACTTGGAGAAACTGGCCGGAGAAGAGCGCCAGAAGGAGGGGATCAGGGTGCTTGATCAGCATTCTGTCACCAAGGAGTGGGCTGAAAACTTCGCCCGCGGGGTCTACAGCTCAGGTTGTCAACATATGCTTCAGCCTCTCCTCCCCCTCATAGAAAAACATATGGGCCGGGCGGTGCAGCCCTCTGACTTTCCCGCTGATCTTCATCCCGATCATCTGAACGCCCTGATGGCTCAGATGAAAAAGTGCCGGCGAGCCCTGGGGATGGATGTGGTGCAAATTGTTGACGAAGCCGATGATGAAGAAGATGATGAAGAGGGTGAAGATCATGCCGAACAGTAGATTAGACATTATCTGTATTTCCTTTCCTTTGAACCAGTAGTTTCATATTTGTACTTTCCGGCCAGTAGAGCCGATGAATATACAATTTTTGCCTGCTCATCTCGTCTCTGTGACTTACTGTACTTCATATTTGTTTTTCACCTATCAATTTGCCTTTGTAATACGTTTCATGTTGCTTTGTTGATCTCCGTAATCTGAAGCGATCAGGTCTCCGGTTTGCGTCACCCCTTTGCTAAGTCCAGAATTTAGGATTTTAATATTAATCGACCTGTTTATTCGATATCATTCATAACGAACTCCATAGTTCATTATGAAGTATAAACTATGTTTCTTCCTCTGTTCGGGATATATATATTTTTTTTTTTTTTTTTTTTTTTCTCTCCATCTGTTCGGGGTAAAAACTCCTGTACTGGGTACAACCATCTTTTTTTTTTTTTTTTTTTTTTTTTTTTTTTTTTTTTTTTAACTAGTTGGTAATTGTGTTCAGCATTCGGGATGTAGTGTTACCTTCTTCGTTGCATCTGCCAGATTTTTCCATGTAAGCTAACCATACTGTTCGGGTACACCGATCATTCTTCATTACATTTGGGTATATCCCGTTCGGGGAAACACTTGTAGCCTTTTTCTTTTTCAATTGTAGAGGTTCGTGAACTTTGTTGACTTCAACCCGTTCGGGTGTTCTCTTATCCCAAAGGATGCTTTAACTTCTCCCAACCGTCTTGACACTTGTCAGTTATTCATTTGGATTCTTGGCGGTAGCATCTCCTTATATAAGGATGTAGCTACTTGTTTCAGTTTTTTCTGCTGCTTCTGAATTCCTTCAAGCTTTCTCTCTCTAGAATCTTCTCTGTTATTTTATGTCTGCCTTTTCTGGTTCGTCAGATTCCGAAGAGATGGTGTCCACTCTGATTCGCCATTCGAGGGGAAAAGCTCACCCCAAAGATCAAGGCACATCTACCCGATCGTCGGGTTCTAACGGGTCTTCTTCCTCACTTCATCCCGAACAGCCCCTCCCTGATGATGGATGTCAGTCGGGGGATGACCTTGTAGTTTACGAAAGGGGTATGCCCGAACGCCCCCCTCGCTATAGACTGAACTTCCACTGCATCAGGAAACAGCGTCAACGCCTTCCTGCAGATGCCGAACAGATGCTCCGCCAACTATTACCGCCACCCCGTCAGTTTTATGCGGGGTATATTAAGCATCCCATGCGGCATCGTCCGGGATGTGTGCTGGTTCACATGGACGCGCTGATCGCTGGTCTACGGTTCCCGTTGCACCCTTTTATTGTGGAGTTCCTTCGCCGGGTCTCAGTACTGCCGGCACAGTTCGTGCCTAGCACTTATAGGATCCTGAACGGTTTTATCGTCTGGTGCCATGAGTTGGGGATTGCCCCTAGCGCCGACCTCTTTTTGCACTGCTACGGCGTCCAGCCCTATTGGACCACCGGGTACCTGCGGCTTGTCGCCCGCCCTGGCCGTTCGCTTTTCACCGACAACCCCACCCCGCCGGGGAAATGGGAGGAACGATTTTTGTTCGTTCATGTGGGGTCGCCGCTTCCTTTCCCTGATCGGTGGAACACCTACCCCGTTCAGGATGCCTCCCCAAAGGTGGACGCAGATATTGTCTGTCAGTACGACAGGCTCCGTCTGGCCGGTTCCAAGAACCTACGGTCCTTTTTGACTCCTGCTAAGATGCTAGCTGCTGGCATTGGTATGTTTCTTCCCTTACTTTGTTCGTTCGGTTCCAAGAACCTACGGTCCTTTTTGACTCCTGCTAAGATACTTTGTTTGTTCTTTCCTGTAGGTGTGATTCCCCCCGTCTCCATAAAGCGTCCTGCTCCTACTCCTTCCTCCACCGCCATAGTTAGCAAGGGAAAGGAGAAGGCTATTCAGTCAGGTTCTTTGGCTGGCCGGGAATCTGGGCCAGTAAACAAGCGGCCGAGAATCGAAAGCAGCGGCGCCTTGGTCCCGATTGACCAGGTCATTGACCTGACGGATCCTTCTGTGGAAAGGATGCCCATGGTCCCCTCCCCTTCAAGGAAGCTGGGCGACAGGGGAGGCGTTGCTTCAGGTAGTCTCCCGATCCCCGATCGGTTGACGGTGGAGTTTTCCGCCATGGGTCCCCGAGCTGAATGCCGGACGCTGTTCGGGCAGACTGCATCCTCCATGTGGTGCAGCACTTCTTTGAAAGCTGGCGAGGGCTTCACCAACTTGACCCATTGGTCTGATTTGGTCGAAGCAGGCCATGCTGAGTCCCTTAAGGTATGCCTTTGACCGTTCAGTTCTTTCTTTTTATACCTCTTCTTTTTTTTTTTTTTTTTTTTTTTTTTTTTTTTTTGAACTTGTTCTTACTGCTGTTTCTTTTTCCACAGGCCGGTACATACTATCACCGGGCCTTCCTAGCAGCTGAACGGGAGATGACCCTCCTTCATCAGGAGCTGGACGAGAGCCAAACCCTTTTGGCTGCTGCTAGGAAAATGGCTGCAGATCTTCAAGATCGAGCCAACAAGGGTGACAAGGCCAGAGCTGAATTGGCCGAATTGGAGCAGAGGCTCCAGCGTCGCGATCGGGAGATCCGGGCGCTGAAGGACAAGATTGCCGCTGCCGAAGCTGCTGGTGTTAAGTTTAAAAGGACCCAGCCCAAAGAGGGCGGACAGCCAGCAGCACCCGTTCAGGCCGACATCTCTAAAATCACTCAGCAGGCAGTGATTGATTTCCAAAGGGGTAAATATCATCGAGGAAAGCTCCAATGATAGATATTCGCCGTTATTTTAACTTTTAATGACAGCAATTAGGGATTAAAGTTCCCGGACAGAATAGGGCCGAGTGAAGCTCTAGTAATGAACTCGCCATCATTTTTAGTTAAATAACCGGTGTTAAGGGTGAAAAACACCCCGAACGGAATAAGGTCGTGCTCTAGCAATGAGTTCGGCTCTAATAAAACCTCACCGTCATTTTAATTAAATGATTGGTTTTACTGGGCATATCGGTCCACCCCCGATCGGCCTAAAGTAGCTAAAGCGTCTCGCAAGGGCATTGCCCGATGACGTATTTTGACTTGGAGACTACTCATGGTCTCGTTCGGCATTGAGTGCCCGAACAGCAACTGTACCCAGTACGGGGCGAAATACGTACTTGAATACCCGACAAAACACTAGGTGGTTCGAGTCGTGGAGTCTAACAGATCAAGAAATGAATCTAGGCCAAGGGTTATCATTACCGCTTCGGCCGATAGTCATGGATGAAAAATTAATAATAAAAAAGAAATGTTACACATGTGTGTATATACTTGTATATGTTGTTCGGTCGTTCGGCCGTATTACCATGCTTACTGTGCAGTGAGATTCTTGAGATATTCTCGAACGGGATGTCATGATGCACATAGATGTTCATGACAATTCGGCATGAAGCGCGTAGACGTTCATGCCCGGCAACAAGAAAGGAATCACATTTATTCAGGGCCGTTCGAAGTTCTCGAACGGGGAGATTATGGAGCATAGGGATGTTCATGACGTTCGGTATGAAGCGCAGAGACGTTGATGAATGGGAACGAAAAGAAGGAATATTTACACTCAGAGCCGGTTGGTCAGACCGGACGGGAAGATCAGGAAACGCAAGAAAAAAAAAAGGAAAGGAAAGAGGGAAAAAAAAGGGAAAGGAAAAAAAAAGGAAAGAAAAAAAAAGAAAGGAAAGGGAAAAAAAAATATATATATAATAATAAAAAAAAAAAAAAGAGTGAGGCTACTAGTGTGTTGAAGGAATCATGGACGATTGAGAAAAGAAGGGACTACAAATGTATAGATGTCACAACACATGAAGGGAAGTCCTATGGACTGTACGATACACAAACTTTCAGATTACGCTACCTGACTGGCAATCCGGCCTCCGCCGTTCGGCACCTAGAGCAACATTATGGGCTGAGGGCGCCTGTAAGCCCCTCGGATTTACAGATCGGCCTCCCAGCGCCGAATTTTCTCTCACCACGACCGACTCTCCTGGCTCGGCATGGTGATCATTTGGAAGACCGGCCTCATCTCCGCTCCTCGCGGATGAGAACTGTTGATTATTTATTTCTGATCGGCCCCCAACGCCGACATCATTACATGGCCACCGACCCTCTGGTACGGTGCCATTATCATATTTGAAGACCGGCCTTGTCCCCGCACTGCGCAGATAAGGACCGTTACTTGTTCCTTTCCGATCGGCCTCCAGTGGCGACCTCATTACATGGCCACTGACCCTCTGGTACGGTGCCATTATCATATTTGAAGACCGGCCTTGTCCCCGCACTGCGCAGATAAGGACCGTTGCTTGTTCCTTTCCGATCAGCCCCCCGGTGGCGACCTCATTACATGGCCACTGACCCTCTGGTACGGTGCCATTATCATATTTGAAGACCGGCCTTGTCCCCGCACTGCGCAGATAAGGACCGTTACTTGTTCCTTTCCGATCGGCCTCCAGTGGCGACCTCATTACATGGCCACCGACCCTCTTGTACGATGCCATTATCATATTTTGAAGACCGGCCTTGTCCCCGCACTACGCGGATAAGGACTGTTGCTTGATTTTCGGGTTGGCTTCTCATTGCCGACATCATCATATCACGATCGGCCTGTCGGCACTACGTGTTTATCATCTTTGAAAAGCGGCCTCGTCCCCGCACTGCGCGGATGAGGAGCGTTGCTTGACTTTCATCATGGCTACATTTTGTGGACCGCTACCGCAGTTGCTGCCGCTGTCCTTGAGCAGAGGGCGCTCGCGAGACCCTTGGATTTATTCATGTCTTCATATCATGATCAGCCCCACGGCACGACATTATTTGCTTAGGAGGCATCTTCACATTCCGTAAAGTCTCACCTCGATCGATAGATACCACTTGTCTCGATCCATGGGGAGCCATCATCTCAGCAAAAAAAAAAAAAAAAAAAAAAAAAAAAAAACGGACGGCATGAAGCGCGTAGACGTTCATGACTGGAAACAAAGAACAACCAGTCGACGGTAACAAACCGGACGGCATGCATCTGAAACATGGTGCTCGGGGGCGCAGCAAGCATTAAACATTGATGACTTGCGCGTTCAGGGAACAACCAGTCGACGGTAATGGACCGGACGGCATGCATCTGAAACATGGTGCTCGGGGGCGCAGCAAGCATTAAACATTGATGACTTGCGCGTTCAGGGAACAACCAGTCGACGGTAATGGACCGGACGGCATGCATCTGAAACATGGTGCTCGGGGGCGCAGCAAGCATTAAACATTGATGACTTGCGCGTTCAGGGAACAACCAGTCGACGGTAATGGACCGGACGGCATGCATCTGAAACATGGTGCTCGGGGGCGCAGCAAGCATTAAACATTGATGACTTGCGCGTTCAGGGAACAACCAGTCGACGGTAATGGACCGGACGGCATGCATCTGAAACATGGTGCTCGGGGGCGCAGCAAGCGTTAAACATTGATGACTTGCGCGTTCAGGGAACAACCAGTCGACGGTAATGGACCGGACGGCATGCATCTGAAACATGGTGCTCGGGGGCGCAGCAAGCGTTAAACATTGATGACTTGCGCGTTCAGGAAACAAAGAACAACCAACAGAAATTAACCGAACGGCTTGCACCTCAATTTTGGTGCTGACCTGTGGCAAATGAAAAACAAACCGTCGTGCTTGGCTCTCTGGCGGGCTCGTCCATCCTTGCTCTGGGATGGCAACCGTCGCTCTTATGCAGCACGCACGGTCTCCACAGCACCGTCGCGCATGGCTCTCAGCTCGGTCGGGCTCATCCATCCTTGCTCTAGGATGACGACCGCCGCTTTATACAGCACGAACGACTGGCTTTTCAGCGCCGTCGTGCCTAGTGCGGGATTGCACCTCACTTAGGGCTTATGCATGCCTTGCGTCCGAGATTATTCCAAGACTCTGATTCAGGGAAGGCAGGGAAGGACGTGAGCAGGATTATACTTTCTCGAGTAGATTTGCAGGCTCACTACTCAAGAAACTGGGGGACTTGTGTTGGGGTATGTTACCCCGGCCTACTACTGTTCAGAGGCCCAATACACCGCCCCGGTACGGGGCCCAATCGGCGAGGCCCGTTTAGGCCCCTCGGGCCCATTTAGGGCCAGTTAGGCCTACTCGGCCTACTTGGGCCTGTTTTGGCCCATTAAGGCCCATTAGCATAGACCTAAAAACCCCCCTCCCCTTCTATAAATAGGAGGCCAAGCCTCCTGATTAAAGGATCTGATTTTGGCTCTCCTCCCCCATACCTTCATTCACTGTATTTCTTCTTTAGAGATTAGCAAGCTTGTTCAACCTCCATTAATGGAGTGCAAAATATGTATTGAGTGATGGGAGGATATTAATGAGAAAGAGCGGGCTTGGACGTTAGCCTAAAAAGTCCCGTGGTTTTCTCCCTTTCCGGGTTTCCACGTAAAAATAGCTAGTTCATACACTTTTATATATTTATTTATGTTTATACCGAATCCATCGTCCTTAATATCCGAAATTTATGTTGGGCCTCCGGATCTGCGGGACAAAACCTCAACAGCGGTCTAATATTATGTCTATAAGTCTATCTATAGGTAGCACAAATGGGTTTGAAGTCCAAGTCTCAAGATCCGATTGTCAGTTATGAGGAGTAAAGCTTAAAGATATATATAACATGGCTGCAACCTGGTAGAGAATTACTTCTAGCTGAATTAAATTCTACTAAGCAACAAAACCAATTTATGGCAAATCGCATGGAAATGATTCAAAGAGGAAATTGGTGAATTTAAGGGCAGTGTTAATTTTATGGATTCTCAAACTCCATGTGGTGAAACAACTTAATGTTTTCATTCCTTCTCAGAATGAATGTAAGGTATGTTTTTACTGCACTAGTAATTTTGCTGAAATGTGAAATACCAATTTCGAGATATATTTTTGTTATTAAAGAAGCATTATATTTCTCCTATGATACTAAAAGTGATCAGCATTTATTTAAAAATATTAATTTATCATTTCAAAAAGAACATTAATTTATGTTTTTATTTGACAGGTGTTTGAAGATGAGAAATCACGAAGTGGTAGAAGTCTTGACAAGATGACAAGTTATCAGATCGTTGGATTAGCTAGCAATCAAGTTTTTATTTTTTGTAGCATACATATATTTTAGAACTAGCATTGGAATTTTTATATCGTTTCTACAAATGATTCACGTTGTTCGAACTTGATATTGATATATAAATAAATAATATTTATGTTTATAGTATTTGATTCTTGTTACAATTGGTTGAACAATGAAAATTTCTACCAATTAAAACGGTGTAGTAATTTAAAGCTTCAAATTCGTGTGGTTGTAAAAATATATTCCATGTGGGTCTTGTGGTTATTGCAAATAAGGTTATACTCCATAGTAATTTATCGTTGTTAATAGACGACATAACGACCAAAAGGTATTTTGTTGTTAAAATGTAACGACCATATTTTATTTCATTGTTAACTATTAACGATGAACTTGGTCGTTGAAACCATTAACGACGGAGGCTATTACAACGACTTGACGACCAAAAAAAAGTCGTCGTTAAATGGTTTAACGACCAATTTTAGAGCCTATAACGACAAAATTTTTCGTTGTTAAAAGACCATTTTTTAGTAGTGTTTGTTTGGAGTCATTTTTGACACTGTTCATATGCCCCAAATGTGGTAAGCGCAGTCACTTCTTAGGAGTTTGATATTTTCGAGAATTGCATTGTAGGCTTGGATTCACTTGATTTAAATGAACTTTAATTTTGCGAATTTTCCTTGGTGAGACCGAGATTAGAATGAGGTAATGTATAGTGAAAATATAAAAAAAAAATTGAAAAAAAGTTAAATTAATATAGCTAGACCTCTTACCTTGTGAAAAAGATAATGAGAGACCCGGTCAAAAAGCGTAAGTGTTTTGCACAATAAGATGAAACTCAGGGATCTTTCGAAAGAAATGACGTTCTCGTGCAAACAAGACAAGGAAAAATAAACTCTTAAAAATTGGACTTGAAGGCTTTTGCAAAAATTTAGCATTAGTCCTTCGAGTACTTCAAGTATACGCCAAAGCACCAATGTGCAGCGACGGTTTAGCTTAGTTGTACACCGTGTCTACTCCTTGCATAGTGATAGATGATAGTTCCTAGTTAGTTTCTTGCTGAGTTCCTTGATCTTAAGAATAGACCCGAAACTCCCGAACACATTGAGTCGCTGTCAGGTTGTTCCAATCTCTAAAAAAAAGGGACTATTCCACCATTCACCGCCTTATTCACAAGTCATTCTTATTAGTAGCTAGTTTTAACTGTGTGCGCTGCCATAACTTCAAGGATGTTGTGATTAATCTTGTCAGTATTTTAGCCAGAATACAAAGAAGTAGTTTACGGGAGCTAGAATTTTCTTGATTTAGGTTGTCTTCTCTGTGAGTATCCCTTTAGCTACGTGTGCATGCTGATATTTTTGATTTCCTGTGGTGATTATCGTAAGTCCCGAAGTTCAGTTTGGTTGAGGACAAGCAAAGACTTAAGGGTGGGAGAATTTGATAAGTTCGTATTTCAACACGCATCAAATTGAGTTTTGTCACTTTTCCTAATTTATTTGCATCACGAAGCGTTTAATTGGCTCAAGTCACGGTTTACCAGGTTTGGTTTGCATTCGTTGAAGAAAAGAATGAATTCGGACTCGGCATCGACGTTTGAACTTAAGTTGAGAAGTTTCGGAATGCGTTCGAGAGATAACAAGAGGAATCAGAGGTCCATGGGATGATTTAGAGGCATTATTCAAGCCTTGAAAGGTCAAAGATTGAAGATAGGATCGAACGGGAACAAACGGAGAAGAAAAGAGCAAGAATATGGCTCAAGGGACATCCACGCGCCCCGTGAGTCATTTCCGCACGCCCTGCGGGTGATTATGAGAGCTAAAAGTCAAAAAGTCTGAACCGCATGCCCTGCGGTCCAGAAACAGATTCGCACGCCTTGCGGGCGGAACAAAAAAAAATTAACGCGCGTTAGGATGTTTTCTTTTGTACTGAAATTTGCTAGTCTGGTCTGATTTGGTCTGGTCTGGTAAATGTCTGGTTTCTGTGTATTTTATAACTACGGAAGTCTGGTCTGGTCTGGTCTGGTCTGGTCTGATCTGGTCTGGTCTGATCTGGTCTGGGACTGAAAACAGTCCAAAAGAAAACATCCTTAGTCCGTGCTGTCGCCCGCATGCCCCGCAGACGACCCCACATGTTGATTTTCGCCCACTTTCGCCGTTTTTCTATAAATTCAGCCCTGTTTTGTCCGTTTTTCGTACCGGAGCTTAGCGAGATAAACCCTAGGTCGATTTTTTAGAGCTTTTCAAGCATTGGATCGTCAAGATTTGAGGATTCTTTGTAAGTTCAATCTTTTTAATTAATGACAATTAATTCTTTCTTTCTCAATTCTGTTGATTCTTCAATAATGAATTGTGAGTAGTTTTAATTAGGGATTTGAGATTGATGAAGGGGTTAATCATGATGTATGGCTAGTTTCTTGATGATTTAAATTGCATGAATCTTTATATTATTTAATTTGTGTATAAATGATTTAATCAATATCTCTTGTAACCTAAAATGGACACTACGATTATAATTGCATGTAGAATAAATTAAGAGAGACCTACTTTATTCTAGAACACCTTCACACACACATACTCATTCGCTAAGAGATTAGTAACGATTAAGGGGTCGTACGCTCACTCGTTTTGACAATAATTTTAGACTAGTATCTTTACCCGTGCCATGGACGGGATAAAACAATTTTCTTTTAGATTTATTGTATATGTGTATATGCGCACACTGGTACATGTATGAGTTATTAGAACAAACAGAAAGTCACTTATTTAGTTGATTAATTGTAACATTGATCGATAATGCATATTCTTATTTATTCAGTATGCCGTATTTTTAATTAACTATCTAAACATGTTTTCAGTTTATACTATCCAATTAAAAGATCCAATTTTTGATAATTTTTTTATCCGAATGTTCTTCGTCTTTTCAATCATCTTTACTAACCACAAAAAGAAGGAGAAAACATTTTTGGTCCCTGAAATAGTCAACATATTGAAATGTGAGACCCGTATTTCCGAGTTTGTAAATGTCACCCCTCAATAGTCCAAATTGCTATCAATGTGATCATTTGAGGGGTTAAATGTACAATGTGGGTGAGTATATTTAACCCCTCAAAGGACCACATTTACTAAAATTTGGACAATTGAGGGGTGACATTTACAATCTTGGAAATACGGGTCTGACATTTCAATACGGTGACTATTTCAGAAGATTCCATCCGTAGCTTACTATTTTTTTCAAAACTAATAAGAACACATTTTTGTGACTTATTTATTTGATAATGAGTGTGGTCATTTTTTGAACATATTAGTCTTCCTAGGATTTATAATTGAGCAAATTAGTCTTTCGATATTTTTTTTAAGAAAAGAGTTCAGAATATATAGTTTTGTGACATTCTGATTTTATTGAAGTTAGTATCGGCGACAACAGGCCGGTTGCATAACGCGATTGCAGTGGTTGATTTATTTTTCAATAGATTGATTTAAAATAAGTGTTATTGAACGAAGAAAGGTTGCATGATTTAGACTTTTAGTAGGCAGTTTCTATCTAAAAAGTCAACTGAATTAAATCTATAAAAAGATTCTCACGTGAAGTGATATGTAATAACTGAAACATGAACAGATCAAATTATGCAATAAAAAATAAAAAATAAAGATGCCCCATATTTTTAGGAACGAAAAATGATTTCAATTTTATGATCAAATTTTAATATACTATCCTCCGTTTTTTAATCGCAACATGTTGATTTTTACACTATTTACATGCTCTACTTTGACTATATTTTACACTATTATTTTATGATTTTTTTAAATATTGTTCAATTCATCCCATTAAAAATTTTCAAAATCTGATTTTCAATTTTTTTTCAAACAAAGAATAAGATATATTTACTGTCAAAGATGTGTGTTGTCAAATGTGAAATGTTGACCATTGTAACTAAAAAAGAACGGAAGAAGTAATAAAAGTTATATTCATGAGTAAAAGAATTACCCTTTATACACACCCTAACTTATTTATCTAACTCTTAAACACAACTTTTAGTATCACGATATTATTGTTATATATGTACTTCATCCGTCCCGTTGG